GTGCTTACATGGCAACAACAAAAATATAGAATAGATTCAATTGATAAAGCTAATTCTGCATTTTATGCAGAATTTCTCAGAGAGAAAGAAATGGAGCCAAGAAAGGCAGAACCACTGATTGAACTCCAAGAGGAAGACTTTGCAATGATTGAAAAAGCAGAAGGAGCAGTAGGGGGCATTGTGGAATACAAAGAACAATGTGAACCGAGATCTACTAGAGCAATAAATCCTTCGTATAAAATATGAATATGGAAGAGAAAAAATTGATTACAATAAACATAAATGGACTTAATTTAGCCATCAAAAGAAGAAAGGTATTTCATAAATTAGAGAAATTAAAGTTTGATATAATCTGCTTGCAAGAAGTGCATATTAAAAAGCAACATGAACAGATATTGGTACAGCCAAAATTAGGGAAATTTTTTACTTCATTGCCACAATGTAAGAAAAGGGGAGTTGTCTTATACATTAGAAACACAATCCCAGCAGAGCAAATATATGCAGATGATGAGGGAAGAACTTTGGTGGTGGAAATAATAGGCAATAACATGAAAATACTTTTAATAGCAATATATGCTCCAAATAACAATCAAGAAGATTTCTACAGAAAGCTACATATGAAAATAATTGAATTGGACTATGATAATATTTGCATGATGGGAGATTTTAATGGTATAGTAGATGAGAAATTAGACTACAATACACAGAAGGCAATAAAGCACAGTAGAAAGACTCTTCCGAAATAGTGATAGTGAAATGGAAAGGACAAAGGAAACGATCTAGATGGACTCTAAATAACACAGTATTAAAAAAAAAGGGCTTTGGGAGACTTCTGGTTTCCTCGTCTTCGGCGGCGGCGGTGCCTTTTGAAGCTCCGCCAGCCCCGCCGCTTGTAGAGCCGCTTCGCGACTAAGAAGCGTCTCGAAAACTTCAAAATCCCTAGGATTTTTGAAGAGAGATCGCAGGGTACAGGTTGAGCAGGGAATAGTTTCTGGGGAGGGAACAGGAGCGGCTCCCGTTCAACCTGCTGGAACTCCAGGCGGCGTGGGACAAGTCTGCTTTTGCAGAACAAGCCGGCTACAGGAAACTTCAAACTGAAAGGAAAGGAACCAGCCTTAATAAGCAGCATATTTTTACTTGAACCCTGAAACTCGGAATCGCAAGTATTAGAGTTTTCTTGGCTTTCTAATCTGAGTGAAAAAATGCGGATGAGTGAAAGTGAACTGTAAAAACATGGCGCTTAGCCTCAGAGTTAACGAGCTGGCGAGTGTGGATTGCTGAACTCATCTTGCTTTGTCACAAAGTTTCTAAACTGTTACGAAGTTGCTTCGCTTGTAACAAGAGAAATAAGAGAGAAATTTCTCCTTTTTCAATACTGGACTTTGCTTTACTTTAGTTCTTATTTGACTAAATCTGGGGGACTTTTTCAGAAGTCTTTGTGGAGGTGGGAGAGGAAGAAGAACTTCCCTTTTTAGTAAAACTAGCCTACGTGGCAGGATGGCCTCAAAGAAGCAGGAAGCGAAGGCAACAGGAGGTAGATCTCCCACACATAAAACACAGCCTCCCCCTGCACAACAGACACAGACTCAGAAAAAAGATTTTGATGTGGGAGATTTAAAAGAATTTATTTCTAAAATTTTGGATGATAAATTTCAAAGATCTCAACAGGAGATAGATGATAAACTTCAAAAGTCACACCAGGAATTTATGCAGGAAATTAATGAAGTTAAAGATATGGTGAAACAGAATCAAAACAAGGTGACCAAAAAAATATCAGAAGTGGCGTCTGGCCTGGCAGAATTTATTATTAAAGTTGATTCTAAAGTTGAAGAACTTAAATCAGAAGTTAATGTTAAGATGAAAGACAATGATTATAAAATTGCTGATGTTGACAATAAAATGCAAAGAGTTGAAAACGAGATTGTCATGGTACAATTCAGGGCAATGGAGTTTGCCATACGGCTTCGAGGAATTCGAGAGGAGGAAAGACAGGATTTGAGACAAGTTTGTTCTGAGGCCCTGGCCAAGATTATACAAGTTAATCCTGAGGTGGTTTTTCACAAAATAGACAAAATTTACAGAGTGAATTCCTGGGTGGCCAGACAAAGACAATTACCTAGAGATGTGGTCATATATTTTACAGATAGAGAAATAAGAAATGACATCCTGCAAAAATCCTTTTACACCTCTGTGCAAGTGGGGGGCTCACGAATTGGAATCTATAAAGAATTACCTCCTAAAATGTTGAAAACCAGAAAAGACTTTGGCTTTCTTGTTAAAGAATTGCAAAATCAACAGATACCATTTCGGTGGGACGCCCCAGTTGGTATAATTTTGAGATACAAGGGAGAAAGATATCGTTTGAATACCGTGGAGAAGGCAGAGCACTTCTACACTACTACTCTTAAGGAAAGAACACCATCCCCACGTACATCTACAGCTTTGGAGATTAAGGAGAGTGATGAGAAGCAACCTCAACGAGAATTGCAAGAACAGTCTAAGCAGGAACCAGAGGAAATGCAAGGCGGAGAAGGAGGTTTTTTGGATGAGCCTTTGCTGGAATCTTCTCCAATCTTGGACCCGGTTCGGATGATCGAAGTTAAGGATCAACGTATAACTCAAGCTCAATCTAAGTTACTTAAACAAAAGCAACAACAACAACAGGAAAGTCAAGACAAGAAGGGAGCTAAGACTACTATACAAGAGACTGGAGCCATGGGGGGAGCGACTCCGAAGATTTTGGATGATATTCGGTTATTTTGCTCTTTGCTCCAGAAAGATGAAGATGACGCTTAAGTGCTTATCTTGGAATGTGAATGGGTTGAATTCAGCACAGAAAAGGAAGAAATTATTTACATATTTGAAACAATTTAATAATGATATAATTTGTCTACAAGAAACACATATTACAGTTCAAGATCAAAAATACTTGATAAACTCCAAACTAGGAATACATTTTATATCTTCAACGTTGCAAAAAAAGAATGGTGTGGTTATCTATGTAAATAAGAAATTTACGGCTAAAGTTATAGAAACAGATGAAGATGGTAGGTTTGTAGCAATTGAATTATTTACAACATATGGTCAAATTCTTTTGATAGGAATTTATGCTCCCAACCAACAACAGGATTATTTCTATAAAATGTTACATACTAAAATACTACAATGGGACTATAGATCTATTTTAATCATGGGAGACTGGAATGGAGTAATAGACTCTAAATTAGACAAAAGGAGTTCAGCGAAATCCAGGATTAGGTTACCTCAGACCTTTTTTGATATGAAAGAAGATTTGGAATTAAAAGATATTTGGAGAATACATAACCCAAAAGAACTGGACTATACTTTTTTTTCAGATAGACATAGATCCTTCTCTAGGATTGATTTCATTTTGTTGTCAGATGATTTACTTGTCAAGACAAAAAGAACAAAGATTTTTCCAAGAACTTTGACTGACCATAGCCCAGTATGGATAGAAATTGAGATGGATAAGATTGAGAGACGTTCTTGGAGATTAAATGAGAACTTGTTCAGATATGAAAAAAACACAACAGAACTTAAAAAGCACTTGAAAGATTTTTTTGAAATAAATTTGAATAAAGGTACCCCAATAGAAATTGTGTGGGATGCAAGTAAAGCTTATATGAGAGGGGTGCTTATCTCCATGAACTCTAAACATAGACTGATTCGACAAAAGAAAAGATCTGAATTGGAAATAGAAATAAAGAATAAAGAACAGTTACTTATTAAAAATCCAACAGATGAAAGAATATGCGGTGCTATAAAACTTTTGAAAGATCAATGTCAAATGCTTATGGCGGAACAAGTTGCAACAAACATACAATATGCGAAGCACAATACATTTTGTAATGCTAATAAACTGGGCAGATGGTTGGCTTACACATTGAGGAAAAAACAGAGTATACGGACTATTGATAGTATTGATATTGGAGGGAAAGAAATTTTTCAACAAAAATTAATTAAAGAAGCTTTTGTGGACTATTATACCAAACTATATGCCAAAGAGGAGGTGCAGAATGGACTTATAGAAAAATATTTAAACGATAAAAGAGTTACAAAAATTACTGATCAACAAAAGGAAAGAATGAATTATCCTATAACAGAGGAGGAGATAATAGTAGCAATTAAACAGTTAAAAACAGCCAAAGCTCCTGGCACGGATGGTTTGACCGCAGTGTATTACAAAACTTTGCAAGCTGAAATGGTGGGACAACTCAGAGATTTATTTTGCAATATTCAACAAGGGGGTAAAATACCCCCATCATGGACAACTGCTTATATATCTTTGATACCAAAAGAACAAGTCGGTCCTAAAAAACCAGAGAACTATAGACCAATATCTCTTTTGAATACAGATTATAAAATCTATGCGAAAGTATTAGCCAACAGGTTGATGCCAGTAATCCAAAAGGTGATTCATGATGATCAAGCGGGATTTATCGAGGGCAGACACATGAAGGATAATGTAAGGCAAGTAATAGATTTATTGGAATATCTTGAGAAGAATAAACAGATTCCTGCAGTGCTGGTCTTTTTGGATGCAGAGAAGGCCTTTGATAGAGGCATAAAGTTCGCAATGGGGCTGTGCGCGTGCGCCCGCTTTGCTCGCACAAGCGCACCCTTTGCACATGCGCAGAAGCGTTCTGATGACGTGGGGGTTGGTAGGTGGAGCCTCCCACCGGTTTTACTACTGGTTCCATAGAACTGGTGCAAATCGGGGGCAACCCACCACTGCTCTGGGTCCTAAAGGCTCCTGGCAGGCACCCCCAAGTTCCCACCATCCTGTTCCTTTGTTCCTCACATCCGATGCCCTTTTGTAAACCAGGCTCTTCCCAAAAGCAGCCTCTCCTCCCACCAAACCATAGCCAAGGGCCCTCTCTGGCACCGAGGTCACAGACCACCAGGGGAGGCAGAGGCATAGCCCCCAGATGGGCTGCAACCAAGCCGCTCCTGGCATGCCTCCCTCACCATCTTTTTACCCTGCTGTTGGGATGGCCTCCATTTTCTATCAGCATCCGGATGGCTTCGGGATGGCCCCCTCCAGAGGCTTCAGAGAGGGGGGTGTTGCCATTGGCATCTGTGCAGTCCACCATGTTGAGGAGATGCTGGAGCCGGACTACCTTCCCCTTCTCATCTGTCCCCACGCCAATCTTGGTGTCCAGATCCGCCACCTTGAAAGAGCAAGTGGACGGGTTTGTCCAAGAAGAGAGGACTGACCACTCTGCACTAGGTAAGAGAAGGTGTGACGGAGCAAGGCGAGGTTGAGTCTCGGCCCTGGTTGATGCATGCTGCACTCTGTCCCCCACCCCACCCATCTAATCTTCTCATGGGTTTTTGTGGAAATGCACTGTCATGCCACAGGTCCAAAGCAGGGGTAAAATCCAGCAGGTTCTAACAGGTTCTGGAGAACTGGTAGCGGAAATTTTGAGTAGTTCAGAGAACTGGCAAATACCACCTCTGGCTGGCCCCAGAGTGGGGTGGGAATGGGAATTTAGCATTATCCTTCCCCCAGGAGGGGCGGGAATGGAGATTTTGCAGTATCCTTCCCCTGCCATGCCCACCAAGCCACACCCACAGAACCGGTAGGGAAAAATTTTGGATTTCATCCCTGGTCCAAAGCCACTGCTTTGGGAAGGCTTCCTCTCCATCTCTGTCACCAAGAATGCCCAGCACTTCCAGACGCTTTGTGCCAGCGAGCATGGTACGCCAGCCCCATCCCACAGTGGCTGGAGAAGCCTGGCGCCAGTGAGCGGAGAGCACCAATGTGACAGTTGTCTTACAAAGAAAACTCAGGGATGAGGGATGAGACTCAGAAGACAAGGCAAGCTTTCTTAATATTTAAAACAGTGTTCAAATTCCAAATACCCAACCTTCTTTGGCTGACAGAGGCTGACCTGGGACTTAACCATCCTGCAATTCCATAAAACTATAACTAGACTTTGTCATGAGCTTCACATAAAACAGAATATATCAATAAGTCTGGAATGTTATAATGTGCAATTAGTAAAATGTTGAAGATGCTTCAATCTCCAATTGAGCAATTTGGGGAATAGGCAGAACATTGCTTCAGAAGGTCTCTCAGAGGCCCCTAGGACATATTCCAAGGCCACACAGCTTGAATATATGACAAAAACAGACAAGGGGCATCTCCCCCAGAAGGGGAGGGGGAGAAAAAGCCTTCCCCTTCCAACCTGGTGCTAGTTGGAAGCAACCTGGTGCAGAGCCGGAAACAGGAGCCACAAGCTCATTTTTACCTCTTTCAGAATGGCCTTCATCTCCTCCACATCTCCTTCAAAAGCTGCCTCCAGCATCCGTTTTTTCCGCTGCTGCTCCTCTCTCTGCTTCTTCTTTTCTTCCTCTTCTTTCTTTCGTGCCTGCTCAGCTTCCTCTTGCTCTCTTCTCACTAGAGCGACAAAAGCCTGCAACATGAACAGCCCAGCAAAGAAAGACTCCTTCAGAGTCAGGACGTGAGGCTGCCAGCAAGCCAGGCCCAAACTGAAAGCTCTTCTCTTCATTGACTGGACACCCCCAGTTCCTGCAACCTTCATCCTACGGTTTAGCCTCCAGACCCGTGCCAGTGCCAGATGCCGCCTATTCTATATCTGTGCGTTTGATTTTTCTTGCCTAAGTGTAAAACTTGACTTTTCTCGCCACTGAATTGCATCTTGTTGGGACAGGGCACAGGGTTCAATACAACTACCCATCCTAGCCCACAAAGATGACTGGGGTTCAGCCCCTCCATTCTACCATTCAGCCCTCCCACCCCCAATTCTGCCATCTGCCAGCCAGCACTTGCACAGAATGGGCTCCCCTGTTACAACCAGTACCCTCCTGCCCCTCACCTCCTTTTGGAGGCGATCCATTAATTCTTCATATTCCTGTCGCTCCTTCAGTCTCCGCTTTCTCTCCCGGCAGGCCAGGATTCTACGGAAGGCACACTGCAAAGTGAGCGCGGCTTTTGCCTCACGACTCAGGCCTGGGGGGCAGAAAGGAGAGGCCCAGAGCCATCAAGTGAGGTTTCCGGGCCCTCACTGGTCCTCATTTCTTCTATGAAAGATTAGGGAGGGGGATTGACTTCAGGGAAAGACCACCTTCGTCAGTTTATGTTCCAAAGAGCTGTCGTCCTGGCAGAGGCTGAACTGGGCACCCAAGTCAGCCTTCAGATCCAGAGGGTCTTCACTGGGGGACTCAAAGTGTCCTGAAAAAGCTCTGCTCAAGTTGCCCAAAGTCAAGCCCGTGCGCCCCCCTCCCCCCATTTATCAGCGAGAAGTTCAGAGATCCAAGTCTATGCGCTCTTAGCTGATGCTGGCCTTGTGGGTTCCTCCCTAGTCTCGAATACAGCCTGGCAAGGGGATGGCTTGGGCCTTGGCGAGTCAGATCCAGGGTTGTCCTGGATGGATTCTGCCAAGGGTGTTTTGCAGATGGAGTGTAACACCTGCACTGCACTGCCTCTCCCTCAGCTCTGCACCAGGTAAAGGACATAAATGCTAGCCTTTCAGATATTTCTTTAAAAAAACAACCCTCTTTTCCAACCAGTGATTTTCAGAAACATTGCTATGTTCGGGGGCTGTTGTTACTCCTTTTATTTTGCTTTATTCTAGACTGACTTTCTAAAATAAACAAATAAATGAAGTGGATCCTATAGCAAAAGCGTGAAACCTCTTTCCAATAACTGTATTTTCCAAGTGCTGGAAAATAATGTTTAAGATAAGTTTTTAAATGGAGGGGGTGGGAAATTAGGATTAGCTGAAGTCCACCCCAAGTATCAGTAATAAAACCCCAATTGCAAATTTCTATAAAACCCCAATTGCAAATTTCTATATACTGTAATAATTCTTCTATGATTGTTAGGCTGATGATTATTCTAAAGATTATGATTTCATTGGATGAACAGAGGAGAAGAGAGAGAAAGTGGCCTGGGTACTTACGGGACCGCCTTCTGCCACCACTAGCCTCCCACCGGCCAGTACGCTCCCACAGAGAGGGACTCCTCAGGGTGCCGTCGGCCAGGCAATGTCGGCTGGCGACCCCCAGGGCGAGGGCCTTCTCTGTGGCAGCACCTGTCCTTTGGAACAACCTGCCTCCGGAGATACGTAGGATCCCAGACCTCTGTTCTTTTCGCTGTGCCCTTAAAACTTTTTTATTTCATTAATCTGGGCTGGTTCGACCCCCCCGCCTTAGACATTTTTAATTACTAATTGATTTTAGTTGGGTGTTTTAAATTTTATATTGGGCCAAAACTTGTTTAATTCTTTTAAAATTAATCTTAAATTTTGTATCTGATGTTTTTAGTCTTGGCTGTTCACTGCCCTGAGCCCAGTAGGAGAAGGGCGGTATAAAAATCTAATAAAAGAAAGAAAGAAAGAAAGAAAGAAAGAAAGAAAGAAAGAAAGAAAAAAGAAAGAAAGGAAAGAAAGAAAGAAAGAAAGAAAGAAAGAAAGAAAGAAAGAAAGAAGGGAGGGGGAGCATGTGGAATCATGGGGTTGGAAGGGATTTTAGAAGGGACCGAGGGCAGGAATCCTCAGACGGCTCCAGTCAGGTGGCTGCCAACCCTTGCTTGAAATCTGCCATCTTTCCAGGAGGCAGCCTGCCCCACTGCGAAAGAGCCCTCTGGGTCAGGAAACTCCACCACTTTATCACCTGGGTCTCCCTACAGTCTGTAAAGCTTCCACCTGTTGTTCCTTGTCCTGCCCTGCGACAGGCCCCTCGGGTCTTGAAAGAAGGCTGCTGTATCTCACCCCAGCCGTCTCTTTCTTACGTTAACACGAGCAAGTTCTTTGAACTACTCTTCCTAGGACTTAGCCTCAGGTCCCTCACCGTCTTCATCACTCTTCTCTGCACTCTTTCAGTTCCCCAGTGGCCTTTCTGGTATTGTGTGGTCCCGAACTGGACACGGCATTCCCGAGCATGAGTGCTTATGGGAGGGATCTAGGTGTTCTGAGGCATCAGCACTTAGTATGAACCAGCAGTGTGCTGCAGCTGCCAAAAAAGCCAAGGCAGTCCTGGGCTGCATCAACAGAGGGATAGCATCAAGATTACGAGAAGCAATCATGCCGCTTTATACTGCGGTTGTGAGGCCACAGTTGGAATGCTGCATCCAGTTCTGGTTGCTGCAATAAAGAAAAGGTGCTGAGGTCCTGGAGCTATGTTCAGCCCACCCTCCTTCCCCCCGGCCCAGGAACACAGCCAGGTTTTTAGGGCCTTATGAAGGGCTAAGTGGGGGCCATTTCGATCTCCAGAGAGGAGAATGCTCCACAGAACAGGGGCCATTGTGAAAAGGCTCATCTTCTGGTCCCCACCAGCCAACACTCTTTGGCTGATGTGGGATCTGCAGCATGTCCATTCAGCTCAATCTAGCTGGATGGGTAGAGACTCTTAGGAAAAGAAGATCCCTCAGGTGCCCTGGAGGATGGGTTGGACCAGGAGAACCTCCTCTGACCCCATGGTTCCATAAAACATCATTGCCTTAATAGGCCTTGATAGACTTGTCCTCTTGAGGAATCCCCATTAGTGGCCTTCAGTGGGTCTTGTGGGGAAGACTTCCACAGATCAATTATATACCGAGTGAAGAAGGGTCTTCTTCACTGGATAACCTTTGGTAAGAGGAACAAAAACTCCCTGATCTCTTGACCACTTCTCGCCCCAAAGACTCACTCTTAAGGCAAGATTAAAGCAACCCTTCCTCCTTCTTCCTCCAGTGCCAGTTATGCTCTTCTACATCCATCCATACTAGTTCCCTGGAGCTGGCCAGTCTCTAGTTTCTAAATTTTAAAATCGGGGTCACTATGGCCATCCCCTAGTTCTCTGGCACTCAGGAAGCTTTCAGGGGATACCTTGATTGATTGATTTGATTTGATTTGATTTGATTTCAATAATGGCCCATCTCAGTGGCTCACAATTCAGAACATTATTTTTAAAAACATTTTATTTATTTATTTAGAAAATGTATATGGCTCTAGAATCAGTGACTCTAGGTGACTTGCAAACAACAAAATACCTCATATAAAAAGAGTAAAAACTAACCCCCACCCACACTCCTGGCAACAACAAGCAATCAAACAAGCCACTTGATGGGCTTCTTCCCACCATTCAGGGTTCCCCAGTCTTGCCAGAAAATGTCAAAGTGGAGGCCAGCCTACTCTCCATGGGGATGATGTTCCAAAGCGGGGGAGCCACCAAGGAGAAGGCACTTTTTCTGGGTCCCGCCAGATGGACCTCCTCAGGAGGGGGAACTTCCAGCCTCCCTCTTCTGGTGGGTCGGGTGGTTGTAACTGGGAAGAGATGGTCCTTCAGCTAACCTGCTCTCAAGCCATGTAGGGTTTTAAAGGTGACAACCAGCATCTTGAATTGTACCCAGAAACAAATCAGCAGCCAATGCCCCTTCTGCAGGCCAATTATATAGGAACCAACTGGAGCTTCCAGATGCTTTTCAAGGGCAGGCCCATGTAGAGTGCTTTGTAATGGTCAAGACAGGAGGTAACTAGGGCATGAGTGACTGTAAGCAGGGATTGTTGGTCCAGCAATGGGAGTAACTGGTGTACAACCTGCAGCTGCCCAAAGGCCCTCCTAGCCATAACTGCCATGGGCTCCTTGAGCTGGAGTCATAAGTCCAGAAGAACCCCCAGATTACGCACTGGGTCCGTCTGATTGTGCCCCCACCCATCCAAGAACAGAAATGGCCTCCCCCAGACCAGCAACCACGCCAGCATCTGAGAACGAAGCCGAGTGATTTTTGTCTTCCAGAAAATCAGCAAATTCTTTTGCATGCCCCTTCTGGTGGACCTCTGTATGCTCCTTCCCCAGGAGAAGACAGCTCACCTTCAAGAGGGTCACTGGCTGATTATCTGCAGACACAATTAGTGCATTAGGGCTTTGCTGCCCAAATTGCCACGGGGTAGCCTTTAACAGCAGCTTTTACCAGTGTTCAATCGAGTTCATCACTTGTCTTCCACCATCCCTCCCAATTCCTTCGTGTATCATGGGGGAGGAAGGAGAGGTCTATGGGTCAGGAGAGGCCGCACAGGAGCAATCCTATCCAGAGCCTCAGCCTTCCAAGCAGTGACTAAGAGTTCGGCAAGACTATGCAACAGATTTGCAGTTATAACCCCCAGTTCCTTCTGAAACCAATCTGGGTCCATCAGTAGCTGGTGGCGAACCAACTTAGTAACAGTAACAGAGTTGGAAGGGACTTTGGAGGTCATCTAGTCCAACCCCCTGCTCATGCAAGAGACCTATTTTTCCAAAATGGCGCTGCCAAAGGCGACCTCGGTGAAATGCTTTCTAGTGGTTTATTTTTAATTATTCTCTGCAACGTACTATGGATTTCTTACACACGAGACCATCTGCTAAAAATTAAGCAACATTTCTTTAAGGAGCAGCTTTCTGTGATCTCACCCCCCCCCTTTACAAACACGGAGGAGATTCTAACACAGGAAGAAGCAATTTCCCCGGAGCCATGGATTACCAAAAAAACCGAACGGAGGAAGCAGAGAAAGAGAGATAAAAGGATGGGAATTTTAAACAGATTAAGGAATAGGAGAAATAAAACTCCTCTGCCTTCAATTTTCCTAACCAACGTACGTTCACTTGCTAATAAGATGGATGAAATACTCCTTTTAAACAGATACAATTCTGATTTTTACAATTCAGCAGCCCTATGCTTCTCTAAAACCTGGTGAAATGAATCAGTTGAAGATAGCAGCCTGTATATCCCAGGGTTTCAGATTCAACAATCAGACAGAATTGCAGAAACATCTGGTAAAAAAAGGGAGGAGGCTTATACTTATATATCAACAACAGCTGGTCTCGGGATATAACTATAATATATAAATTCTGTGACGAAAACCTAGAGACATTAATTATCAACTGCAAACCATACTATTCGCCTCGTGAATTTTCCTCATTTCTTCTAATTGCTGTTTATGTCCCACCACAAGCCTTTGTAAACAAGGCATTACGAACTGTAGCTGACCAAAT